TCCAGGCACTCCTCAAGGCCCGCTGCCAGAGACCACCAGAAGTGCTAATGTGACATTCATTTGGGCGGCGAAGAAAGTATTTGATGACATGTGTTTGCAATAAATTACCCTTTATCTGCACTTGCCTCTCACACTTTCAGCGGCCCAATAGGACGCACATTACTCAAATGCACAGCGAAAGTGTCTCATCTTGATAATCACACTTAATTTTCGGGGAGCACAAGCGTGACTTCAGACGCGAGAACGTGACAATGGGGTTGTGAGGAATGCACCAAGGAATCCCTTATTTTGAGTGCTCACTCTCCGCAAACATGGAGGGCATTTGATGATCGAAGGCACATCTGATGATCTGAGGGACGGCGAAAAATCAGGAATGGCCGCGCACACAATGGTTTTAGATGGGAGATTTCAAGGGCAATCTTCTGCTATTCATTGAAATCATGGGACAGTCTATCGTAAAGTGCACCCGGGGTGGATTAAAAGTCGCCCCTCATCCTCAGCATTGGGGCCGTTTTCCTCGATTTTCCGGGATGATGAGATTCCTGGGCGGGGAGACAGTCTTTTTCATGTGGACTAAATTGGTTTTATAGTTGGGCGGGTGGGAAAATCTCAGTATCATGTCGCCTTGTCGGCTTCATATAGCCAGCAAGTCAGCAGGATTTTGTGAATTGAGTGGGTGGCACAGGGTGGGTGGGCGGAATGTATAGGGTTTTGTCGCTTCGTTAACACTCTTGAAACAATTTACCGAATTAGAATTCCACCACAGTCACCGCACAAATTAATGATACTGGAAGCCAGAGATTTGGTTTTCTCGCCCATTTTCTCCCCTATTTTCACACCATCTTCACCCCAGAAGCGCCCCTTTTTTGCGACCCACTTCACCTCACGTAAATCTAAGTTAATGAGTCTGCAGGTGGATCTCTGGCGGGAGGCACTTGAGGAGGATGATCTTGCAGACTATCTATGGGCTAGTAGATGGCGCACGGAGGGTGAGCCTGTCCATTGGCGTGGAATTTTGATAAGTGCCACACGCACTCAAATTCCGAACAGCACATTTCCCAACTCACTGACAAATGCAAATGCTCGTCGACGAAAATTGTTTATCTTCCGTAACATTAATTTAAGTGAAAAGACATCCAGACGAGGGAAGGCGAAGAAGTATAGTTGGGTTTGAGAATGAATGTTGCCGCTACTGTTAACCCAAGAAGTCATTGAGATGGAAAATGAAATGGGGAATTGAAATGAGGAGAGTGCCAGTGAAACACGGAACATGGAGAATATGGTATGGGCCGCCTTTGAAGTCGCTCCACAGAAACACGCACACTAATCAGCGTGTGATTTAGAACTGGAGGAACTGGTGATGGTAATTAGGCGAAATTCAGACTGACTTTCCTCTCACATCCAACAACAAATGATACTCTGGCTCACTTCGCCTGTCTGGTGGATTTCAGAAACACTTTTCCACACCCTCCAGCGATCGGGATTGTTGTAATGCGATAGAGTTTTCAAGGGAAGACATCCCGAGAGCTTGCCAGAAATCTGACGAGGGGTGGCCATTCGGCGAAACACCGCACTACATTCCATGGTAACTGAACCACTTCTGGACATTTTAAAAACGTGTTTTGGAGATAAGTCGACATCAAAGGCGTGTGTCTCAATTATTAAGAGCGCATTGCAATGCTTGGGCGTAATTAATTCCATTCACTGGAATGTGTCTTGCCAGGGCCCAAATTGGGGGGTTCTAAAATTGTCCCGCTTTTCTAGGGATTGCAATTTCAACCAATGTTTTGCTTAGCAAGTGTAAAAGCCTCTTAACCGCCTTGCACCTCAATTCAAAATTGGTTTCTGATCGACTGCCTGCCGCTGAAAAAGGGCATGGATTTGAGATAAAAATTGCCTCATATCATGAACAAATGCTCAGTCGTTTCTGTATTACTTCCGGAGACGCTTTTGAGGGTGAGGTGAACCCTTCGTGTGTGACAAAGGACAAGCATCCGTGGCATTCGAGGCCTTCGATCGTGTCTCGTCCATAAAAATGAAATTGTGTGTCGAATAATTGACTCTCTATTTGGCATATATGAGCCGTGACCCTCGAAATGTTGACAGATGTCAGTCGTCAATACAGCATTTTGTGCCACCAGCCATCATCATTCATTCCTCGCGTCTCACCCTTGACAGTGGAGGCGCCCGGTTGCAAGCGAGGGGCGTATCAGTTGACGCAAATGAATGAGGGCAATAATGAAATAAATCATACATTTGCCACGGGGTGCTGAATATGGGTGAGAAATTAGATTTTGCAATTCTGTAGCAAACGATGATGGGGGTTGGACCGCGTTTTTGCCGTTTCGCCACCCCACAGAGTCACTTTTGGGCACTTCTTTCATGTTTGCTACCCCTCAAAGTGAACATGATTTGTGGTATTTGCACAGAGGTTTCTCAATTTCCCATTAATTCTGCGTCATGCAGAAATCTTGTGGAAATTCTCCGCGAAGAGCACTTGAAAGTTTCATGAAATCTTACTGACCTAGGGAAATCTCTCGTCGCACGGAGGGAGTCTGTGATGATTTGTGTGCCGCCTCCCCGCCGGCAAAAGTAAAATTTATATGAAATTTCACTTTTCATTTATTCAAATGAAATGATATTCGACACATGGGGTTGGCACACAATGAGAGGCAAAACGCCGTGGACTCTTCATCGGCCTTCAATATGCAACAAATGAGATGATTTTTCCATGTGGGCGCCTCTCAATTGGCATCAAATTAATTTTTCTGACACCCATTCTCCCATTTTGTACGACATGAACGCTGCGGCATGACTGTTAGACAATAATATATGATTTGCTGTGGAGAGGAGGGCGCAAGAGGCATGGCGTGGTGAAGAGATGGAGAGAAAATTTATACCAATAAAATGTCAAATAAATATAAAGGTGAGAATTTCCGAAAGCAATAAAATATCATTAGGCTTCTCTTCATAACAAAAACCGCTTTAATGTGGCCTTTTTTTCAGCGTCCCTCCTTTTCAAGTCGCGCGCAAGTAAATTAAAATAAATATTTCATATACAAGTCAGTGAGATTTTCCCCGTGTCGCGCGGGCTCTTTTTCGGCATCCGCATAAATGTACATTGGTATTATTTATGAGGAGCCCCCCATAGATTTTCCGCCCATTCATTCGCCGCAAGACATGGGCAGCGAAGGTGAGTTGGACAGCGAAGCATCTCACTTCTCAACAATCTTAATGACTTTCTGAGACGATATATTTCAAAAATTACCATTCTATGTGCGTGATTATTACAAGATTATGACTCTCCGGAGCGACAGTCGAAGGCAGCGCTTCGGGAGAATTAATACTCAGGCAATAATGAAATTTATTGATGGGATATTAGTCTCTCTAAATGGTGCCGCGCTTTCCACTCCATTTTAATATCCAAACACTGGCCTTTTCATGGTGATTCTGTTCTTTTAGCAGCGCTCTTGGTGGTTTTCAAGATACGTGCCATTTCCTGTCGCGGTGCCATGCAGGGGCCGCCTTCGAGGGAGGCCCCCTAAAAATTCCCAAAGACACAGGGGGAAGTATTAATATTTAAATTACACTATAAGAAAAGAACAAAGGCTGAGCTTAAATGGATTTTAAATGCCGCGATTAAAAAGACATTCAACCAACATGATCAAAAAACCGACACATTTTGACGAAAGTGTTAATTGTCTATAAAAATGTATTTTATGTAAAGTTTATTTTGGGATTTTTCAGAGCAGAAAACCCTCAAAAACCCCTCCCATTTCTAAGCTCCGCCCAATTCTACGCGCCTTTACAATGCCGAACCTATTTCAGTAGATCAAGCATGTAAATAAATAAAATATTCCAGTTTCATTGCAACTTAATTGAGATCGAATTTAAAATTGAGCTGAATTTGTAGACCTTCTTACGCAGTCTGGCTCGACTTTTAGCTCCTATTTAGCAGAATAGCTTACCTTATATGTGAGACAGAAATCCACGATGACTTGGAGAATAAATGTATAAAATTATTTAATAGAGTTGAAAATTAGTGAGTTAATCTGACACTGATGGCGATAGTCTCCACCTCATCTTCTCAACAACGAATATTGTATTTAACATGATGTCCATCACGAGTGTATTTTATGCAATTTTTATGGGTGGAAGCATGAAAAGATGTGAAAAACGACAGGAGAGACGCCCCATAGGAGTGGAATTAAAGATGAAATAGAAGATTTATCAATGGGTTCAACATCGTAAATACTAATTTATGTAATATTCTCTCTCCGACTCAATAACGAATATCGTTTTAGGGGGGCAGCGATTATGGCACATATTTCACTTTTATTGACAGTGAGTTAAGCTGTTTGTGGTGTTTCTCGAGCTGTTTTTTTCGCTCTGTCGGTGTATTAATCAGGTAAATTGTGGGTATTTTGGGACATCAACTTCTCAATTGACGAGATAAACGGACACGTTGGTATTTAACCTCTGGTCGCAGTGTAATTAAAATTTTTTAGTGTTAATTCGACTCTTTAGTGGGCTTGAGAGTCGCTTGATTGCGTGTTTTTAATGGGAAATCCATTGAGATTTCACCGGAAATTTTAATTGATTTCCAGAGTGTGTGTGAAACTCACCTGACTGTGTCTCTAAACTCGTGGCCGCGAGTGTAATTGAGGCCTCACGGGCAGGGGGAGAGTGGCTGTAAATGGATGTTTTATTGAACATATGGTGGCAGCAAATGGTGACTGGCTGCAACATAAATCAAGTGGCAATAAAAGAATCCTCAGCGTCGAAGAAGAAGTCAAAGAAGACAATATTTTATATGTTTTAAATTAAGGTGCAGGTTGATGGTATAAAATGTAAATTTTATTTATCACCATTGATGGTGATGATGCCATTTGACACTAATAAATAAATATTTCTTCTTTACTGTCTCTCCACGATCGCTTCCCATAGCTGAAATTTGAGGAAGGCCCGCGAAACTGATGAGAGGAAAAAAAGAGACATCGTTTTCTCTTGTTGCAAATCATTTGATTTTATTTTTTTCCGCCTCTTCACTCGCAGTGATATCCATTTCTTTACAATCTAACAATTGGGGTAAATTAAAAATTACACTTCTAAGGATATAATATGCTTACGACATAGTTGTCCTTCTATCTTTGAGGATCTGCCTTACAATCAGTATTTACACAGTGCATGATTTTCACCGAAATAATTTTCCATCCTTAGAGAAAACTTTGGCTATTTCTATGAACTTGTTCCATCTCGACTGTCGTGCTGAGGAATTTACGGTGGCCAGAAGGCAAAGAGACACACAATTTCGCAGTCCAGAAGCCAACTCATACAATGTGGCCAACTCTTTGACTCTATCGCAACATTTAACGTGGCTCGCGGTCTCGAGATATTCAGCATTTAGTGGCTAAACAATTACACTGACAGCTTGAGTGGCAAAATGAGTGTTCAGGTGTGATAATTGATCGTGTCATTAAGGTAATAATTGGTCGCGCAACTCCGTGGCGAATATATTAAAATGTCTATTGCATAAAAAGTAAATTAGATACACCATGTCTTGAATACATTTCGCTACAATGTTTTGTGCGCAGAGATATTTTCGCTACACTGAATGATATAAAAATTTAATTGAATTTTTATTAATTTTGTAGTCCAGCTGAAAAGGGGACAGAGTTGAATAAGATAGTTTTCATACAAACACTTCTTCCTTATTTCTTTTTTCTTCTTTTCTCTGGTTCTGAATCTCCAAATGGATTGAATGGAGATAAAATTTTAATTCACGCCTCTAAAGTGGCAAAAGAAACGCTTGTCATGTCTCTATTTTACTCAATCTGCAACTTTTCAACTCCTCTCAATTCGTGCTTTTTACTGAGATACCGAGAATTTTTCCGAGGAAGGAAGAATGAGCGAAAAGCTATTCAGTTTAATTCCAGCGTTGACGAAATGAGAGGTGTTGAATTGGAAAATATCTCCTGTAGATTATATCATACAATTTATCTTCCTCCGCGGCTTTCTCACCATCTTAAGCCAGTAAATCATGAGTGGAGGAGCAACAAATTTTTCTCCAGCGTCACATGAGAAAATGTGTGTCAACAGCAAAAGTAATGATTATTGTGGATGTCGTGAAAAATTCAGCACATCTTTTGCGCCCGATATGAATCTGAAATCACGACTCTATTAAGAACAAAGTGGCTAGCAAGTGGATGGCGATTTATCAATGGGAATATATAGAATTTATTTTGCCATCGGAGGAGAGCTTTTCTTGCCGAGCCAAGAAGCGATTTGATGCAGAATTTATTGATTCGCTGGGTGGGGAAGAGCATATTTGCTGTAAATCATTTTCAAGTCTGCTTCTTTGCCGTAGATTGCGCCCTCCTTGCCAGCAAATTGCAACAGTATATATATCTCGTTTGAAGATGTGTCGTGTCTTTTTAGCGCACTAATTTATGCCACATCTCAATTGCCAGCAATTTTTCTCTCTGTTTGCGGTGTTGCGATGATCAAGAAAAATTCTCCAACGCGATATTTATCATGCAATTTACATTTTAAATTAATATTTAATTGCATATCGCGAGTATGGAGATGAATTAATAGACTTTTTCTCTCCTAATGCATCACTGAAGACATGAAAGTCCATAATGATGGAGAATACATAGTATGTGTATGCAACAATCTCAAGAGTCTCTCTGCGGGCCGATGAAGTGAGCTGGGCAGGCAATCCATTTTGATGAATGCAATTTGGCGCTACATAAGTTGCAATTATTTCAATTATCCCCCTGAAATTGATGCAATTGTGTGTGATTTTACCTCCCACGCACTTCCTACCCATATTTCTCTGCGCACGACATGGAGATGGATTGAGAGAGAAAATTAATTTACACAAAGTGATGTTTTGCATATGATTAACTTGTTCTAAAATATTTTCTGCAATATTATTTAGCGCGCTTTTTTCATCATCTCTCTCCCTCTGTTTAATGCTTTCCGCATGGAAAACAACCATAATTTAAAACACTATTTCTAAACCTTCACTATACACTTCTTCGCTCTTGTGGTTGTATTTTGTGTGTGGTATTAATCAATTAAAATTGATTTATAGACCATATTTTAATTACATTTTAATTACACATTTTTATACACGACATGCATCGATTTGCGAGATTTTTCTGCCTTCCTCCCACCCACGCAATCGTGGGTGGGACTGCAATTATCTTGTTATCACGGAATTGATTGCGAGGCGATCGCCTCGGCTGAGATGTACAATTAATCTGTCCTCTTGGGATTGCTTCCTTATTGCCAGAGATTTCGTGAGAATTGCTTCGGTCACAGTGGAGGAATTCTATCTGTTCTACACAGTGTAAGAAGGGCATTTCTGTGGCTTGTTGAACGTAAATGTATTGCTGTATCTTGAGAGAATTAAGAGAACTTTAAAATCGGTCAATAAGTGTGACTTTGGCGTCACACTGAATGCTTAAGCACTGGTGTCAGAAGTGGGATGACAATTCTCATTCTCTGTGCAACTAACGGTTGTTTTCTACCTCCCTACTAGAAACCATCGATCAGTCCATACCTTTCACGTGAGCAATCTCTGGGACCATCACAAGACCCTGTCTAAGGATGCATCGAGGGCGGCGTGCCCAGCCGCGGCCCGTAGAGTGAGAACGGCGAGAAGTACTGCGCCAGTGAGGGATGCGGCGGCAGGCCGGGCAGCCCTGAGAGCGAGGGCGGTGGCAGGGTGGGTGGCAGCAGGGAGGGCTTGCTGTACGGATGATACCTGGCCGTGGACAAGGGGCTGAGCGGCGGCGTGGGGTATGTGCGCTGCAGGAGCGGATGCGTGGGCGGCAGACCCGTGGCCGCGGCCGTGGTGAGCATAGACTCGGACATGTTGGAGGTGTGTGTTCGCAGATGCTGCAGTAACTCGTCGGAAGTGCCGAAGCGCTTCCCACAATAGCTGGCGTCGCTGGCGATCCAGTTGCATACGAAGGGAAGTTGTGAGGCGGCCGCGAGAGCGGCTAGCTGGGCGTGGGCGTACGCCGCAGCTGCGGAATTGTGCGCCGACATGGACTGGAACCCTTTGGCTGGGTGGTCGCATTGCGTGCAGCCGGCTGGGCAGGTGGAGGTGGCCGGCTTGGAGAGCATGTGGTTGCTGAGCGCACAGCCGGTGCAGTAGGGATCGCGGCAGACCATCATGGGGTCCGCCGGGGCGCCAGGTACCTTCATGCGTGCGTAGTTGAGGTAGGGACTGAGAGCGGCGGCCTTGAGCATGGAGTGATGGGGCGCCATGAGGGCGCTCGCCGTCATCAGGTCCATGGGATAGGGCAGTCCGGGCGGTGGGTAGCCAGAGAGAAAGGCGCTGGAGGTCGTGGGCAGGCCCAAAGACGTTGACACCTTGACCGAACTCGATTCCTTTGCCTCCTTGTGAGGACTGTCGATAGCGAGGCCGCTGGAGGATTCCTTAGATGAGGCACGTTGAGGACTAGCACTTTTGTCTGCGTGGGCCACGCTCGGTGTGGACTTCCTGTTGGTCGCCGGCGATGATCTGGGCGACGTGGCGCTCTGATTGCTTCCGCACCGACCGTTAATCGCCGGGGGATTGCTGGGGACAGGCGTGGTGACTTTGGGTGTTCTAGTGCGTGACATTGAACGCTCTTCTGGGGTGGTGGCCTTGTCACGATTGCCCAAATCGTAGGGCTTAAAGCTAGACTTGAGGATATCACTGGAGGAGCCGTTGGACAGTGACGATTGACTGCCCGGCGAGGACTTGTCCCTCGCCTCAGACTTGCTGTGTGTCTTTGCGCTCTTCTCAATGTTGGCCAGCAGCTTGGGATTGGGCGAATCCGCCCCAATAGAGCTGCATGTCTGCGCCAGCAGGGCCAGAGGGCTGTTCTTCGCGTCCAGCTGCAAGGACAGATAAAAAGTTGAGGGTAAAATCGAGCCCCGGTAAATGAAAATTTATAGTATGGCTAAATTGACGTGGTCATTCATTAAATTTTAATTAATTTTTTCCTCTCACACCCAACATCTTTAATGTACTCCGCCGAACCCCTTTGGCCAGTGTGAGACCATGATGAATAGATTGGGAATGGGCAAGAGTTGTAAATTTAGCAGTTGAAGATATGATTAAGAGAAAAAGAAGGTTCACGTCTGAGTCAACGGGTGGAAGAGACGTATAAATTCAAACGTGTCAAGATGAGACATGAAGGAAATGATAAATTGCGTGGAATACCCTAATTGGTCGTATATCAATCAAGAAAATTAATTACAGAATTGACTGCAATTTATACCCGAGATGCCATCGGTGTCTCACCCCGAAAACACAGTGTTGATTAACACATTTTACAATCGCACAGACTAAATGCTCAACATTCTGACTCTTTTGGTCTATTTGTGGGAAAGAAATCTGTCTCGTTTTGCATTGGCAATTGAAATGCAAAGCAATTATTGATCGGTTGTACGTGAACCGCGCAAATGTTTGTAAAGTCTTTCATTTACCTGACTCATTAATCATTTAACCCTCGACACAGCTGAAAACAACATGAGAAAACTCCCAAGACAGCTAAAGGTGTCTCACGACAAGAGTTTATCAGACTGTTTTTAATTATATTCCATGTAAAAAAGGCAAAATAGATCACTTTTAAGCGTGCATTTACATATTCTCTTAGTTTCAGACATCTAATACTTCTTATTCAGAGATTCTTGGACATTTTAATAGAAAATGAAGAATTCCACAGCGTTTAGCATGGAAAATTTTACCAGGAACTGCATTAAGACTATTCATTTTTAATATAAAAACCGATAATTTTAGTATTTGTATTTTCTGGTCCTTCGAGCCGGATACATTTCAATCAATTCATTGAGGCAAAGAAGCTCCGTCTGGAGCATCACTTTACATTCCACGGACACCGAATGGTGGCTGGAGTGGACATGAAATACCTAAAATTGTCAGCAGGAGTGAGGACAGAAAAAAGTGGGGAGCAAGACCGCAATTCCCCGTTCTCGGGTGCTCAGAATTAATTTTTAACAAAGCAAATTATTTTTAATTTGATACAATGCACGGCGAAGCAGAAGAATGCAGAGGTGGTGGTACAAAAAAAATCCCTCATTGAGATTCAGAACATGAAGCTACCACTGGTTGCCTCATTATGTATTTAAACTGGAAGCCGCGAAAATGAAAAGTGCACACAGGATCGTGCATATTTCCCTCCTTTTTTTTGCCAATTTTGGAGGCAGTGGCGTTCGTTATGGATACAATAATGTTGGAGGGAAAGTAATGTGCAACATAGTTTGTGAAAAATTCCAATCTAATGCTGCGCGGCGTTGCAAATAAATCTCTTGGATTTTTAAAACTATTGACACTTGAGTTTCTTCGGGTGCCAAAATGTGCCATATGCAGGAAATGCACGGCATTAGACATGCTGCGATGCACGGAAAGGAGTGCGCGGCGTCTTGTGAGCGCTGCCCAAGAACATGAGGCGCTATTTGCTGAGCGACGGAGATAAATGTGGCGTGTCCACCCCTGTTCTGTCACAATTCGCGGAAATTAATTATGGCACTGAAATCTGACGATGATGGGTCGCCGAGCACGCAAGGCACAGCGTGCAGTTGTCAGCATGACAGCATTCGATTTGGACTATTAATTATGTGGGATGCCTTGAAATGTTCCACTGTATTAAAATCTGGCAGCGGCCACATCAAGCAGAGGCTCTCACACTTGCCAGCCATCTCGAAGGGGTTAATCAATCTTTTCCGCGTCTTTTTGCTCCTCGCAGCGTCTCTTTGGCCGTGCGAGAAGAATCAATTTTGTAATCGATTGAGTGGTTCTGTGGATGTGAGAAAAAGGGGATATCCAACTTGTTACTTTTACTTCTTGTCTCGAGTCCGAAACGAGTTTGTCGAGGCGCGTTGTTGGGCTTCTTTGTTAACATGGACTTTGAAGCTACTACTATGGATTATGCCTTATAACTTTAGGCACATGATGTGTTTAGCTAACAGAAAATCAAAGATGAATAGTGGATATCAAATTGTTTTGTTTATTTATGAATTCAAAATAACTGATCCTCTATCTTCTGAAGCTTCGAGTCGATCAGTTCTGACTACTGAGATCGAATATTTTCACACCCATTTTTTTATTTTTAAATTCACGATCAGGTTATGAGAAACAAAATCTAGGGGTAACATCTCACTCTCTTAATCAGTTTGAGTGAAAAGGATCTATTTTTATAACCCTACTTAAATGTTCAAAGTCGCCCTCTAACTTTTCTTAGGATTTCTTTCACCCTCTGAGTTCAGCAATTTTCCAATTCACTGATTTCCACCTCGTGGGACTGTGATTTGTGTTTAAACACAGCTCAGTGGTTTTCCTGAGTAATTAAATATTCAAATGAGGGGCACCATTGTCGTGGCTCTTTAGCATATTTTGACGGAAAGACCGGTGAAATCATTGAGCTTCTGCGGGAGGCATCGTAAAAACACACGAGAAGTTTCTTGGAAAGCTTGTCGGAGAGCAGATGAAATAAATTTTCCATCAATTTCCTCTGCTAATGAAACGTTTTAAACTAATAAAGTTGGAAACTCATGACTGAGCATGTAAATAATTCTGAACATGTATAAGGAGGGGGAATGCTTTTTAAGGCCATAAAATGGGCACTTAAAATTCGACAATATTGAATTACGAGTCAATTTTAGTGTGGCTGTAAATTAGAAAAAATGAGACACAAACAAGCCAATCCAAATTTAAGGATCGCGATCAATTATCTGTGTTTTTTTTCGTAAGAAGTCCTCACAAGCAGTCAGTCTGTATGAATTAGTGCGAGGTGATTTTATTGTGGGCACTGCTGCCAATTTTATTGGTCGTTGCCTTTGGCACAATAAAAATGGATTTACGGGTCCATCAAGGAAGTGTTATGACGCAAAAGTAGGTCGATTTATCACAAGCGAAAGCTCACACGCGACTCTGTCGGACAGGGAGAATGATGACAAGTCAGGATAATCATCCGGGTGGCTTTCAGCGCCCCCAGAATGATAGCCATCAACCCCATTTCAGTGACACTCAACTTGAGACATGCACTTAAAATGCGAGGTGTAGCATTCCACCTTCCTTCCCAATTTCCACTATCCGATCCGATTCTGGCCAAGGAAGAAGGGTCTAGGAGGGGGAATTGCGAAGATTTACGATTATTATTTGCATTTTTATGATAAATGGATCCATAAAATTTTATTGTTGATATAACTTGGCATTATTAAAAATATGAAAGGATGCGCCTTCACATTGTGAACATCTCTCAGCTGCGCACGAAGAATATTTACGAGCACTGAGTGTATTTTAATATTTCGTCTGAGGGTTATAGCATTTTTCCTAAATGTTTCATTTTATTCAGCACACACAACCGGGAATGCCACTGAGATTTACTAGTTTTTACAAAATAGAGAATGGAGCTCAAAGGAAATGGTTGTGTAGATATTTGTGCCCTCTTACCAGGATTAAATTTTGAAACATTCAACGGAAGATGTCAAGGAGTTAAACAAATGATTCTCCTAAATGAAAAGTTCTCTGCTCTTGGGAAAAGAAGTCCTCAAACCCCCAGCTTGGATTGATGGTCTTAGTGTGTCCTAGAATTTAGCAGAATCACATAAATTTCTACAAAATACAAATCTACCTTCGTTTTCTCGAAGTGTATTTCAATTGTGAGAATTTAAAGCCTAAACTTCTTAGACAGACTTGGCAGCCATGACGAGGGAATCTGTGGTGGGGGAAAGACAGTGAATTGAGCAACTTTGTCGGATGGTGAGGACACTAATGAGCCACTTAAACGACAGACCGACTAATTACATAGGAAATACAGTCGACTGGCTGCCAGAGCGTCCCTCGGGGAGCAACAAGAGTGTGTTTGGGTCAGAACTTCCGATTGTGTGTCCACGAAAAAAATCTCTCGGCCTGTCACTCAATTGCTGGGTGTCTTTTTTGTGTAGCAGACCCACCCTCGGCTTCTTGCAGGGGACGAGCGAAAACGCAAAACCGACAACTGTGTCACTGTCATTAATCATTCAATCAAGCGACATTATAACGAATGGAAATCGCATGGAGCGAGAATTAATACAAAACGTAAATGCTCTACCTTACAGCTTGTAGTGAAATATATTTTTCGTTTGGAGTGTGAGAGAGGCGAAAAAATAACACAGGGAAATATGATTGATGGCGCTCCGGGAGATTTACGTCGTTTTGACAGCCGCACAGTTATTAATTTTGTGTTTTCTTAATTAATGCCTCAATAAATAAATAAATATGGGTCGTCTATTTGCCTTCAGATACTGTCTCAAGAGCCCTCTTGCTGCTCTTTTCCGCCTGGGTCGAGGGTTGATTTTTTTTACACAACATCAATGGTATCAATTGATTAGATTTCCGGGTGGTTTTAACATCGGATCATAGGTAGAAAAATGTTAATGTGTGCCAATAATTCACTTTTATTGCGATGAATTCAACTATTTCGACATTTTAGAGATATACATTGTATGCTCTATCGATATACCTTGAAGCATAAATTAAGCATTTTCTCTTGGCGTGTTAGACTTGCTGTTTGAGATTTAAATCAAACATACATTTTCTACTTGAATTATTGGATAACATGGAAAAATGGTTGGATATTAATTTATGGCTGGTTTCACAAATAATCCAAATCTTTAAATTTATGATTTTGAAATTTATCGCTACCTCTGACAGCTGTCAAAGCGAACGACATCTGTCAAAGTCAGCTGACTGGCTCGTTTCTCCCCATTTTTCCTTCTCACTCTTCTCAATTCTTGCCAATTAATTTACGCTACGACCCTGTACAAATTGCCATATATTCCGGGTGGCTCAAGTGTGGGGGCCGTTTTTCCGTGGCGGCGAAGATGAGGGGTTGGGACTCGGAACGAGTTATTCCCTGAAATATGGCCGACGCTCTTGGCGCGCTCGTAAAGTTTGCGATTTGAATAATGTATGCGGCAATAATTTATCGATAATAGCCATTAATGTGGCATTTGCAACGGCCAGAGACGCTATTTCCACTAGATTTTATTGAAATCGCTTTGGCGAATAAATTAAGATAAAAAAGAGCCCCAAAATTAGTCACGCGCTACCATTTTCGGGTGGAAAGGGACTTTTCGGGGACACTTACAGATGTTGGCAGCGGCGAAAGGTAGTCCGGTCTTAAGTACTGATTGCTAGGATTGCTGGACGTCAACATGATGGCAAGCTTCTTGAGCACTCTCACTTGAATAATCCTCTTGAGATGGTTTGGAGCACTTTAGCGGGCGATTAAATCACTTTATGCCCCGCATTCTAAGCGTAATCAATCACTTGATGGTCTACAACTTTAGCACTTCACAAACTCATCCACTTGCAAAGATGCTGCGCAAATATAATCCCTGGCCGATGGTTCGCAGGTATTTTTAATCCGATACGAGAGCGAGTTAATCCTCACTTGGTCACTGATCTTCACACTGAACTGTGGCTTCCAAAACGCGAACACCGAAAGAGGGTTTAACGCTTGAGCGCCGTGCGAGAAGACCTCTCGAGTTGAGTGTCTAACTTCGACTGACTGTGGCTGAGAAGTCGAGTTTGCTGCGAAGTCACGAGCCGAAGCCACTCTCTTTTCTGGTCGCTATTTTTCTGCCTCTTCCACATGGCGCTCGAAAGCTCTCTTGAACTTGGGAGAGGGCATGCGCCTAAGGAAGCTCAGATGCCGGGTCCTGAGGAAAGGCCCAAGAGTGCAAATGTGAGGAAAGTCAATTAAAAAGTGCTGTGTTTAGACAGCACTTCACACCTCATCAGCGACCAGTCACACCTTGACTGGGTTGAGTGTTTTTGTCAATATTTCACGAAATTACTCAACTGACACGTGCTTTTTTGTCTCAGGTGAGAAAGTGGCCAGAAGAGGGTTAATTGGTGTCTTGTTTGATTGAGGATTACTTGAGGCGGGCGTACCAAAAAGTACACTCAAAAGATCTAAGAGTGTGACGAAAATTACGGAGACAGCGACAATACAGTAGCGAAGAAAGAAATATACCTAAAATGATACCAAAGAGCACTAATTAATGTCAAGTCTCCGAAGATTCACAGATCAATAGATGTTTGTATAATTTGTCCTATTTTCTCTCTCGCCACAGTGTGACAAAGACGAGCATTAAATTTGAATGCTGAGAGTTTTAGCGTGAATTTCTTAGAAAACTGTTGTTTTTGACACAGTCCGTGGCAAATTCTATGAATTTATCGCACTCTCTTAGTCTCCTTGTCAGTGAAGTGCCTCAAGAATGTCCCGAAGAATCTCAAAAACATCTTTTTTATCGGTCATCTCTTGTCTTGGGAGACACAAGCAGTTTTTTGTCTGTTCCTTATGGCGAGAGAAAGAAGCGCATAAATATAAAATTTAAGAGCTTTTTGGCTTTAATTTATTTGGCCATCGCCATCACAGTGAAATGGGAGATGAAAAGGCCATGGCAGTGTCGTAGAGTGAATCATGTGCAATAAAAGACGGTCAAAGAGGCACGAAAAGATGATATAGAATGGAGAAAATTAAGTTGTAAAATATTTAATGACACCTCATAACTGATTTCACAATTTTTATTTAGATGGACCCTCATTACATTTTTATATTGTCGATTTTTATCATGAGCATAATTTTTATTAGCACCGCAGACACTCTGCGCGGGAGGAAGGCCACGGGCCATTGAGGTGCCGCAACTGGTGTATAATTTATTCAGGAAACGCCATTCACATTTATTTGTGCCTCTTTCGCCCAGTCAAAAGTGCCACCAAAGATGCTTGTACTGCTCGACATTGCACTGCTCTCAGCCTTCGATTTGCCACCACGGAGCGCGAGAGCAGAAGTTTTGTCTGCGGCAGAGCCAGAAAAGTGCTGGCGAGTGCAGAAATTCCATGTCGACTCTTCGGCCCAAAACGAGGAGGATATAAATTGGTGGTACAATCAGAAACACCCATGAGTAACACCTTGTTCGCTGCAAGTGTTAATGGCATTTGGAAAATTGCAAAATCAATTGATAAACACGCTTGTTTGCTGTGAAAAAGTATTTGAACACGAATAGGAAATTCTCCACTGACTTTTAACATTGATTTTAATCGCAAAATGGTAAAAAAATACGATATTGTGATGATAAATGGCAACAATCAATCATCAAATTACTGAATGTTGTTCATTTTACTGAATTCCTTCAAGTTTTCGAAATTCTGAGAAAGTTAAAAATGGAAATATCGTCTTTATCCGGGCGGAGCAATTAAGTGGGCGGAGCTTAAAGTATTGCAAGCTTCTCTGAATAAAATATTGTAATTTCTTCTGAAAAGCTAACAAAAGATACTCGTAAGTTATAGAATTATGCAAAATATTTGATACAAGACACCAAAAATTCCTGAATTGTCTACATAATTTTGCAAATTCCGGCATTTTGATAAGAAACAATGAAAAACTTGTCGCCAATGAGCAATTTTCCTCAACGACGCGCTGAATTCGCCAATTACTTTGCATAACAATGTCGTGTGTGACATTGAGTGTGGTGCGACATAGACGACGAGTTGGGAGGAGTGGCGCAAAAAATAATTGCAACACACTCGAAAACTATCTCAATTTCATTGTGACAATCTTGAGAGAGTCACTCCTTGTTGACAGGCATGCCAACAAATTTGGGTTGATGCCTTTCAGCATTTATTCACTGAGATGATTACACTTTCGGGTGACAAAAGGCATAGCAAGAAATTCGCTTTCTCCTCTTGGCGTGTGTTTGACTTTTGGGATGAAAGAGGCGGAAAAATCACACGACATGGTGACAGTTGAGGGAAATTAATTAGAATAAATGACAGTCAATTTGACGATTTTCACTCTCAAAAAGTTTGACTCTATTTTTTCTTCTTCATCTCGGCGCTTCTTGTGCAAGAAACTCAACCAAGTGCCAGTGGCAAATGGAAAGGACACAAAAGGAGATTTCATCTCTTGTATCCTGTTGTCAATGTGCAAATTCTGCCGCTCCCAGCTCTGGTCCGAGGCTGGAACTGGAGAATATAATGTGGGTTTTTGATGGTAAGTACTTCATGAATGATTTATTGCATCCTGTCTCACCCTTGTCCTTCTGCCAGACACTGTGATTCACAAATGGAACGAGAACATTTGATCGCATCTCAAGTGCTGTGAATCTGTATTCATTTTCCCATGGCCCAACTCCCAGCGGTGTCAGGGATCACCCCAAAACTAATCTTCAATGGAGATGGAAAATCCCTTAACATGAGAACACATTTTGCTGGCGCGTCTTCTATCGTGAAATATGGCCAGAAATGCGTTTTCTTTTCTCACGTGGGTGGATTTCCGCCTTCGGTATTGAAAGGCAGTGAATCCTCAGGGTCAGTTTGTCGGATAAGTTGAGGGATCTGGAGTTGGGGGGAGAAATGATGAATGAAATCAGTGAAATAGCTGAGAAATTTTCCTTCCATCTGCGGCTATTTCCTCGTCCGGGGTGGGAAAGTGGGAAAATGATGTGATTTCCTTCATATTTAATCACAGTCTGTGGGTTGAGATTGCGAACAGCCGATTTGATTAACACTTTATTGCTCTAATCAAGCTATTTTTGATATATTTTTTTATTAAGCTTCATTCCCGTGAATCGATTTAGCAACTTCCAGGATTTTAAGAGGAATATTTCAGGACAGAGTGAATGTATTTCACATTTCCTGCCTACTCGCGTGATTCAATATCTGAGTAATGCAATAACCTGTGAAGCATGTCTGAGTCCCCTCTTGAGTCAAAGCCTGAGAGCAGTATAATTGGAGCGCTCCATGGTGCCCCCTTTCAAATTTGCATCCTAAGGAGGTTTCCTGGTATTAAATATCATCAATTTCCCAAGAGAAAATTCACATTTGTTGCTTCCAAGGGGGCGACATGCGTTCGGCAACACTAATGCGCCTTGACAGGCTTTGTTGGATGTTAAGTCAACCGCGGAGTCATCCCCAAAACCATCGAGTTTAACTGCGAGAGTGCGAGAGGTAATTTTGGGATAGGAAATTGCCTTTCTTTGCCCTCAGGCATGTTTTATTGAATAAATCCGCCTCGGCTTGAGTGGCTCCTTTTGCTCAAGTGCAAAATTACTCCACAGACTCATGGGCCACTCTTGAGGACCCTCACAGCAGCCTCCGGCTTGGCGGAATGTTTTTTCAGATGTCGGAAAATTGAGTAATTTATGGGTAAAAATGAAGTGAGTGAAGTGAAAATCTATTCATATGCTGCGGCTAATTGAAATTGCCGCCCGAAGGGACGTGTGTAGCAATCCAAATAGGATTGTTAATAGCATTTCATGTCGCCTTCAGGGGTTTATCTTTTGTTTGTCACGACCACATTTTCAAAATATGTACACGGGAAGCAGGCACTAAGGGGCCAGACAGAGGAATATCTGATAAATGATATGTTGCATTTTATGCTCACTGCGCAGCTTCCCTTCAACATTTGTCATACTTCTGTCTTTTTTTTTACCACGTCACACGATAATTGCATAAATGCAATAAAATCACCCTTCGAGACGGGTTGTTTGTCTGCCTAAAGAGACTCCTCTTTGCTGGCCCTCATGCACCAACCCTCCGGAAAGAAATTATCTTCATCACGATTCCTCATTGTTGCATTATTTATGTTAAAGGATTTTTCGATTCATCCTGTCGAAAGAATAACAACCACACTGTGGCGCTTCGCATGAATTATCTCAGGCAACAGAAACTAGCTATATATGCCGTCTCTGAAAAGAGGGAAGGACCTCGTGATTGACAGATTTTACAGCTCAGAGTGTGAAGTGAGGGGTTGACGCTGAAAGACGACACTTTTCAGCCCCTCGGCGTTTAAAATTTCACCACAGCCACTCATCAAAGGGATTGTTTATCGCGCCAAAAAAGCAATAAGCACTCGAGAATATGGACAAATCAATCATCATGACAGTCCCGCCTTCTTTTGCGCATAAAAAAACTTGGGGAATTGGCACTTTTGCAAGGATGCGAGACTTTTTTCTAGCGACTAACGACGTTTATCAATATTTGTACTTGAGGCATTTCACTTGGAGTGATATTCGAGAGCATCAGCTGCTGTTGACGCCTACACTGACAGCTTGATTATCCAATCGATACATATTTAGGGGTTGAATATTAACTACACCCACCATTGCGCTTAGAATGTACTTTCTGAATAATTCTATTTTAATTATTTCTTTATAAAATGATAGGCAAAGGATGAATGGAGTCTTAGAAAAACGTACGTGATAATTAAAAGCGTAAAATTGAGTTTTCCAATGAATACTCAATCTGAAACACTTGATTTTCAAAGAAGCCACGCCTACTTGAATGCCACGCCCATTTTCATGGTTTTCAGTGTAAAAGGGCGAATCTTTTCAATGAATTTTACTTCAAATACGCAAAAGGCAACCTTGTTTGTGTTATCTTTTAATAA